GGAGCGTGTGAGCATGCCGCTCATCTCCGGGCTGCTGGATGAGCTGCTGGGCCGAGGGGTGCTGAACCAAGAAGAGGTGGAGGAAGTGCAGTATAAGCACATGGCGCGCACCGACAAGGCCCGCTGCCTCATCGACTGTGTGCGCCTGAAGGGCACCCGCGCGAGCCAGGTCTTCATCGACAGCCTCAAGAAGCGTGATGGCATCTTGGCAGAGCAGCTGGGCCTGGGCACTGACATCGGTGAGTGATGCGGGACCGTGGTCTGACTCCGGCCATGCTGAGGCTCCCATTGCCTCCAGTGAGATGCTGGAGGGAGGCCTGGCCCTGGCGAGTGTCCAAGGTAAGGGGCAGCTGGGCACCCCTGGTGTCACTGCTCTGTGGCACTGAGTCCCCCTTGCATGCAGCCAGGACAGGGCTCTCAGGAGTGGCCATCCCCAATGGGGCTGAACTGGACACCCAGGCAGCAAAGCCCAGCTCTCCTTGCCTGCATGTGGCCTGGCACAGCCCCCTCTTGCTGCAGGCTCTTCCCAATGTAACTGTGGGGCTTCCTGCTTGCAGGGCCCCCTGGTGCACAGCTGGTCTCCCCCAGCCCCTTCGTCACCATCCAGGGCCAGCAGTGGATCCGGCAGTGTTCCCTAAGCGAGTACCAGCACATCAGGGCCACAGAGGGAGATCAGGTGCTGTGGGCACAGGAGATGAGAGGAGTGCTGGAGAGTGGCCCCGCCATCTGGCTGGAGCAAGCAGGGGCTTGCCGAGGGGATCCAGGGTCTCTGCTGACCCAGGAGCAGGGCAGATGCGGGGAGATGCCACAGGGACGGGGATATGTGGCTGCTGCACCCCTGGGCCTTCTCTGCTATTAGCTGCCTACCAATGAAAGCCCCCTGCTCCCACCTACCCAGTGCTGAGTGCTGCCTCCCTCCATTCCCACAGATCTATCCCCTCTATCTGCCGCGGGAGGTACGAACCCGCAGGGCCCTGCTCATCTGCAACATTGACTTTGAGCACCTAAGCCGGCGGAATGGGGCTGAAGTGGATGTGCAGGGGATGACAAGGCTGCTGGAAGGGCTGGGCTACATGGTGGACATCCATCAGAACTTATGTTCTGAGGTAAAGGACTGCACAAAGCAGCTGCCACTGGTCCCAGGAGTGGCTCAGGGACCCTCTTTGGGTGAGCTGGTGCTGGGAGGCTCAGGGACCTGGTGGCAGTGGCTCCTGCCCACAGCTGGTGGCTAGCTTTCCTGATGTTCCTTGTGCTGGTTTGTAGGAGATGGCTACGGTCATGAATGATTTTGCAGATCGCAAAGAGCACTGCACCTCTGACAGCACCTTCCTGGTCTTCATGTCTCATGGGGTCAGGGCTGGGCTCTGTGGGACCAAGAGCAGAGACGAGTCCACAGACATCCTCTCCCTCGATACCATCTACGAGAAGTTCAACAACCAGCACTGCCAGGCACTGCTGGGCAAACCCAAAGTGGTCATCATCCAGTCCTGCCGTGGAGGTGAGTCCCCACCACGAGGTGCCTGTGACTGGGTGGGGACAGGACACCCCATCATTGCTGATGTGTGGCCCTGCCTTCCCAGGCAAGGTGGGCTCTGTGCTGGCGAGCGACACTGCAGACCTCCCCGTGCCTGCTCCCGGCCCTACTCATACCACCCGCGCGGTGCTGGAGGATGACGCCATCTGTGAAGTCCACCTGGAGAGTGATTTTGCCACTTTACATTCCTCCACACCTGGTGAGCAGCTCCTGACATAGCTGCCCCACCTGTGGGCAGGCGAGGGCAGCGGCGACTCCTATTCCTGATGCCATGGGTCTCCTCCACACGTCCTCCTCCTTGGACCTCCATCCGGTGACTGCTTGGGCATTGCTCCAACAGCCTCTGGAGAGGGCAGTGTCCTCCAATGCTGGGGTACTCAGCTGCTGCAGGACACCCACAGATCCCTCTTGGATGCACTAGGGCCAGAGCTAGTGTGCCTTGCCTGCCTTCCCTTGCCCTGGCTCCAGCCCTCCCCATCAGCTCTGCTCCTTCCCCAGCCAATTGATCTCACCACAGTGGCTGCCCAGGGGAAACTGCCTGCTCCTGCTGGGTCACAGATGGCTTGAGGCCGTGCCAGCCTGGCAGCTGGCCTGGCTGGGAGCATGGGAGGGCAGAGAAGCTGGAAGAAAATACATCATTCTGTCTCCCCTGGGGTGCCCTGTCCTTTTCCATGCTGTGGGTTGGATGAGCCAAATATAATAATCTCAGAGAAGGCACCCATCTCCTGCTCCGGCTCACAGTGTTAATCACAGCTGCAGCAAGGGACACCAGTGAAGTCACACTTGGCACCTCCTGTCTCCCCAGATACCGTCTCCTGGAGAAGCTCAGTAACAGGATCCCTTTTCATCGAGCACCTGATAGAGCAGTTTCGAAACCACGCCTGTAACAGCGACCTGGAGGAGCTGTTCCGAAAGGTGAGGTAACTGCAGGAGCGCTGGCACATGCAGCCGTGCCAGCCGCCAGGAACGCTGCTGGGAGCAGAGCTCAAGCCAGGCCGTTTCTTGGCCCTGGGGTGCAGGCTCTGTCCACAACGGGTCTGGTTTGGCCAGGAAGGTCAGCTGGGTCTCTGGAGGCATCAGGACCCTGCCATATGGTGGGCACGCACGAGCCCGGCGTGCTGGTGCAGCCCTTGGTGTCCCTTGTGTCACCACACACATGCCTGGAGGTGCCCCTGGGGATGCGTCCTGACACCATTCAGCCTTCCCATGCCTGGAACAGATCTTCTCTCATTTCTCCCCATTGTCGTTCCCAACCCAGGTCCAATATTCCTTTGGAAAATTCCCTCGGCAGTTGCCATCAAAAGAGCGGACTACGATGCCCAGGAAGTTCTACCTCTTCCCAGGCATCTGATCTCCTGACAATGGTGAGTCTCTTCACCTCACACATCTGTAGCAGACTTTTGTGTGTGCCCCAAACCCGGTACTCAGCCAGCGTGGACAAGAGGGAGGAATTCCTCATTGCTCCTGAGCTCCAGAGCTCTTGGCTGGATACCCAAAGAACTTGTGTGCCAGTAGCTGGGGCTGGGCAGCAGCCTGACTCCCTTCCCATCTCCCAGCTGGTCACAGGATAGAGATGCTGAAGGAACTCCTTGCAGTAGCCTGTGCCTCAGGAGCTTTCTCAGTCTAATGTTCTTCACAGGTGAAAAATCAATACACGGACAGCAGCGTTTGAATTTGGAGGTAACACAGCAGAGAGCTCAAGGCTCTGCTCCAGAGATGCACTTCTTCAAAAAAGTAAGGACCAGAGGGAAAGCCCAGAAACAGCCAATCTCCAAACCAGCTACTTGTGCCCCTTTGCTAGACAACTGCAAACAGACCTGGAATAAAATAGTCCTTGGTCTCCAATCCTCCCTTCCTTTTGTGGCCTCCAAACCCCAAACTGAGCAGGGAGCAGCAGACACCTGGCTCTGAAGCACTGAACACAGAGCTGGTCAGGGTTTCTCTCAACTGTCCCCACACACAGCCTGTCCCCAGTTGTGACAGAGATGAACCGTCACCCCTGGAGCTGCCTCCGCCCCATCTTTGGCTTTACCCATCACCTAATAAAGGGGTTTCACAGCAGTTGGCTCCGCACCACTGCCCGCAGCCCACGTGGATGGCTGTTCTGGCCTGCAGTGGCTGCCTTTGTGTTGCCTTCCTGGGAATACTGAGCAAGCAGGAGGTGGGAAATCAGAGGGATCTCAGGGAGGCAGATGTGCTCCAGGGCCATTTCCATGCTTCCCCCTTGCAGGCTCACAGCATCTCCCTGCTCAGGAGACAGCTTCCCCCACACCCCCATCCTCCCGCTACCCCCAAGGAGGAGGAAGGATGCAACTCCCCCTGGAAGCCAAGAAACCCTCAAACCCATGTCTTACATGCACTGCTCCCACAGCTTGTAGTGTTACAGGCCCAGCCCAGCTGCCACCTCCCAACAGCATCACCCCGTCTTGCTGGGACTCAAGAGGCCCTTCCTGTGCCCACCAAATGCTCCCTGTCCTCCACAGCCACATCCAAACCATTTTCTGCCTTGGCACGGATTCAGCTTTATTGCACGTTCTGCAAAGTCAACAGCCAGATCACCAGTGGTCTGGCAGCAGAACGAGAGGGTTCTCCTGCCCCTGCCCAGCGCCCAAGGTGCCCCAGTGAATCCCAGTGCAGGCAGGACAGGCTGCGCAGGCAGGGCAGTGTCCCGGGCCTGTGCCACCCCCAGTGCCTACGAGGCGGCAGGAGAGCTCAGTGGGATGGAGGTGCCTCTCCACTCCAGCTCCAGGCAAAGGCCTTGCAGGCAGGGCTGGGCTGCAGGTGGGCAGCCAGCGCAGGCTGAGTCCCTCCTTGCAGAGCCCAGAGCCCTGCAGCACTGCCCAGAGCTCCTCAGGGCCCACACAGGGCTTGCAGGAACCTGGTCCCAGCACTATGGTGGTGGCAGGAAGTTGAGGACAGCAGTGATGAATTCCCCAAATTTATCCTGATGGACTATGTGGCCTGCCCCTGCAACGTACTGGACATCAGCCTTGGGGAAGAGGCGCTGTATCTCTGGGTAGTCTTGGGAACTGCAGAGCAAGGGAACATGCCATGGGAAGTGTGGTGAGAGACCCATCCGGGTGTCTACCCTCCTCCTCCCTAGGCAGAGGGGTCTCAGGTCTGACCATGTCCCAGTCCCTGCTGGGAAAGCCTGGAGCTGCCCCCCAGGTTTCCCCTCACTCTCCAGTGCATTGATGTCACTGGCTGATGGAGGCACAGAGCTCGCTCCAGAACCTTCCCCGAAGCCGAGGGGCTTCTTCCCACCCTCGGCAGCTGCAGAAGAGCACACGGGGTCGAACCACTGACCTCAAACTGCTTCTCTCCAGTCCTACCTGATATAGGGCGAGTCAGATCCTCCCAAGAAGAGTGCAGGGCCAGGATACGGCTTGTGGAAAACAGGGAAGTTCATGATGTCTACCAAGTGGTGGGAAATAGCATCCAGGTTCACCCGCCAGACGTAGCGGCCCTCCACCTCCACCAGGTTGGTGAGCAGGAACTGCCTCAGCTGCGGGTGCTGCCACAGAAGGGGATCACACACTCTTCAGTAAAAGCAAAAAGCCCTCAGATGTTCTGCCACCCTCCATCCTGCCCTCCACTGCCTTCACCATGTGGGGGTACGTTCCCCTGTACCCCCACAGCCCTGGTGAAATGTCCTCCAGCTGCACATGATGGAGTCTTGTGGCCTTAAAGCCTTGTGCTCTAGTCCCAGGGATGGGCTGGGAGCAGAAACCCCATCCATGGAACAGGATTTCCCACCTGGACCACTGGACGCAGCTGATCGTCAGCCAGCTGGCGGGCTGCAGAGCGGGGCAGACCATCCGGGATCTTCACTGACTTCATAGCAGAGATGTAGGCAGAAAACTCGGAGACGGGTGCGGTTGAGGTGGGACTGATGTCTACAGAGATGAGGCGCTCCACCAGGTCTGGCTGGGGACACAAGTAGGGCAGATGGATGCCAGCTGGGACCTCCCCAGTTGGATGAGGCACAGGGCTCTGCTCCCAGTCTGACTCCCGAGAGGCTCTTAGCTCCCTCCTGCCTCAGCAGAGAGCCCCTGTGCCTCAGCGTGGCAGATCTCTAAACTCCCGCAGCTGGGCTTAGAGCTCTGAACAGAACAGCACCCT